TGCTTTTACCCCTCATTTGGGGTGTTTTTTATCCCCTCCTTTGGTATGTTTCTACCATTTCTTTAGGGTGTTTTAACCCCTCCTTTAGGGGTTTTTTTTACCCCTCCTTTCCCTTCTGCTCGTTCCCAACTGAGTTCTCTTCCAGGCTGCTGCACAAGGCTGTTGCCCAGGGAAGGAGGGCTCTGACTTTTGCCCTGGCCCAGAGATTTGCCTCCCTCAACAAGATCGACGAGAAGGATGCAGAGAAAAGGGTAGGAGGCTCATTTGCCACAAAAAAAAAGTAATTATTTATCCCTTGCAACCCTCTGTCAAACCCCAGGCAAGCAGCAAGAATCCTCCTGCTGTCCTGGAAAAGAAAGGAAAATGGGAATGGGGAGGGAGTGATGGAGCACAATTGGGAACAGAGCCCCAGAATTCCAACTCCCCACTTCATTATTTACAAAATATTGTTGTTTTTAAACTATTTTTGCCTTCTGTGCCCTTCTTCCCTTCTCAGACTGCTTTACATCTTGCTGCAGAAAAGAACCAGCACCTGATGGTGAGTGACCTGATCTCCCTGGGAGCCAACGTCAACGAGCAGGACAGCTCAGGGAAAACTCCCCTCCACCTGTGCGCACAGAACGGCTACCTGAGGGTTCTGCAGGTAAATTGGGGCTTAATTGGGTCTTTTTTGGGGCCAAAGTGGATAAAAGCAACTCATGCACATTCTGGTGTTGGAAATAAGCTGGGGTGTTCCTTACATTTCTGTTCTGATGTGGTTCCAGAGGGTTTTGGTGTGGTGGTGCTCACAGGGGTCCTAGGGTGAGATGAGAATGTTGACTCCATGTTTCAGAAGGCTTGATTTATTATTTTATTATATATATTCTATTAAAACTATACTAAAAGAATAGAAGAAAGGATTTCATCAGAAGGGTAGCTAAGAATGGAAATAAAATAATAAATAGAAAATAATAAATAAATAATAATAATAATTAATTAATAAATAAAAATAATAAATAAACCTAAAATAATAAATAAATATAAAATAATGAATAAATATAAATAAATAAATAAATAGAAAATAGAAATAAATAGAAATAAAAGAAAAGAAAACAAATAGAAAGGGATGATAACAAAGGCTTTTGATTGACTGAGACAGTCCGGACAGCTGGAATGTGATTGGCCATTAATTATAAACAACCACATGAGACCAATCACAGATGCACCTGTTGCATTCCACAGCAGCAGATAATTATTTTTTACATTTTGTTCCTGAGGCCTCTCAGCTTCTCAGGAGGAAAAATCCTAAGGAAAGGAATTTTCAGAAAATATCATGGCTACAATTTGGGGGAGGAAGGGTATTTTTATGGGGGATTTGGGGGCAGAAAGGGTAATGTTGGCAGTGCCAAAGCTCAGGAATCACCTGGATATTCCTCATTTCAGGTCCTGAAAAGCTGCAAGAACAACGGGGTGTGTGTGGAGGTGGATCTGCCTGACCACCATGGTGAGAGGNAATATATAATTTTATGTGTTGTAAAATTAATATCTAGTATCTAATTATATATTATACAATTAATATATTTTATCTATTTTACATACATTATACATTATACATTATACATTATACATTATATATTATAATATATCTATTATATATTATATATTATATATTATATATTATATATTATATATTATATATTATATATTATATATTATATAATTAATGATTATATATTATAGAATTAATGATTATATATTATGGAATTCATATTATATATACAAAATCTATTCACCAGTAAATGATATACTTCAAACATCCAAACTAGGGAATATTTTGGTTACAGCAGGATGCATTTAACTAATTTATAACAAAAACACACCTCAATATCTAAGCTGCAAACTCATCCATTCCAGCTGCTTTGCAGGGGTAAAACTGACAGGAATGTTTTGCTGTTCCCAGGGTATTTCTGCCCCGGAGGGAACAGCTCGGTGCCAGTGCCGTGCCCACAAGGGACCTTCAGCTCGACCGGGGCAGCGGTGCCATCCCTGGGATGCCAACCGTGCCCCGAGGGATTCTTCAGCCCCAGGGATGGACAGAGCTCCTGCCAACCCTGCCCCAAAGGCTTCTTCAGCCCCAGAGCCGGACAGAGCTCCTGCCTGCCCTGCGGCTCCGGGGCTGTGCAGCCGGCAGAGGGACAGAGCACCTGCGTGTGCCTGGGGCCAGGACAGGTGTATCAGGTACGGTCTGGGCCAGGAGAGGTGTATCAGGTGTGTGTGAGCAGCTCTGGGTGTGCTCCCTGCCAGGACAGGTGTACCAGGTGTGTGTGAGCAGCTCTGTGTGTGCCCCAGGCCAGGACAGGTGTATCAGGTGTGGTCTGGGCCAGGAGAGGGGTATCAGGTGTGTGTGAGCAGTTCTGTGTGTGCTCCAGGCCAGGACAGGTGTATCAGGTATGGTTTGGGCCAGGACAGGTGTATCAGGTATGGTCTGGGCCAGGACAGGTGTATCAGGTGTGTGTGAGCAGTTCTGTGTGTGCCCTGGGCCAGGACAGAATCACACAGAGTCACAGAATCACAGGATCTCAGTGTCACAGGATCACAAGTTCCAGGTATGAGTGAGCATCTGTCAGTGCCCTCGGCCAGGACAGAATCACACAGAAACACACAGAATCACAGAGATGCAGAATCTCAGAATCACAAAATCTCAGAATCTCAGAATCACAGAATCTCACAATCTCAAAAACGCAGAATCACAGAATCTCAGAGACACAGAATCACAAGTTCCAGGTATGGCTGAGCACCTGTGAGTGCCTGGGACCAGGACAGGTGCTCCGGGTATGTGTGAGAAGCTGGGGCAGCAGCTCTAAGTAATAAAATTCACAGCCACAGAGTCACAGAATCAGAGAATCACAGAGTCACAGGATCTCAGAGACGCAGAA